GTGCTCGGTTCCAATCTGATCACTAATATCTGTTGCATCCTGATGTGTCGGGTGTGATTTATTGCATTGGAGAACATTTTGGCTGCCTTCCATGAAGGGTTCAGTTTCAGTATTATGACCGATATCTGTGACTTCATGAAAAGTTAGGTGCAGTTTGTCGTTTTAAAGAATACTTTAACTACAGACAACGTCCAGAAGTCTTCATACAGGGTTCAGTTGCAGTCCTATGACCACTATCTGTTCTATCATGAAAGTTTCGGGTAGAGTTAGTTGTGTTAGAGCATATTTTGACTAAGAAAAAATGCCCAGACGCATCCTACGTGGCACTTGGTTCCATTCTTATGACCAGTATTTGTTGTATCATTAAGAGCAAGATGCGGTTTCTTGCATTAGAGGACATTTACAATACGCTTATCATTCAAAAGCCCTCCGCACAGGGCACAATTACAACCTCATGACCTAAATTCGTCACATCAGGAAGAGTAGGGTGTGGGTTGTTGCATTGGAAAACATTTCGGCTGCAGACAACGTTCAAAAGCCTTCTATACAGGGTACAGTTCCAATATTATGACCGATATCTGTGACTTCATCAACAGTTGGGTGTGGTTTGTCACTTTAGAGAATACTTTGACTAAAGACAACGTCCAGAAGTCTTCCATACAGGGTTCAGTTCCAATATTAAGACTGATATCTAGGACTTCATAAGCAGTTGGGTGTCGTTTGTCGTTTTACAGAATACTTTGAATAACGACAACGTCCAGAAGTCTTCTATACAGGCTTCAGTTCCAATAATATGACCGACATCAGTGACTTCATGAACAGTTGGGTGTCGTTTGTTGTTTTAGAGAATACTTTGACTAAAGCCAACGTCCAGAAGTCTTTCACACAGGGTTCAGTTCCAATATTATGACCGACATCTGTGACTTCATGAGCAGTTGGGTGTCGTTTGTCATTTTAGAGAATACTTTGACTAACGACAACGTCCAGAAGTCTTCTATACAGGGTTCAGTTCCAATATTATGACCGACATCTGTGACTTCATGAGCAGTTGGGTGTCGTTTGTCATTTTAGAGAATACTTTGACTAACGACGTCCAGAAGTCTTCTATACAGGGTTCAGTTTCAATAATATGACCGATATCAGCGACTTAATGAACAGTTGGGGGTCGTTTTAGAGAATACTTTGACTAAAGACAACGTCCAGAAGTCTTCCATACATGGTTCAGTTCCAATATTATGACCGATATCTGTGACTTCATGAGCAGTTGGGTGTCGTTTGTCGTTTTAGAGAATACTTTGACTAACAACAATGTCCAGACGTCTTCTATACAGGGTTCAGTTCCAATAATGTGACCGGTATCAGTGACTTCATGAACAGTTGGGTGTGTTTTGCCGCTTTAGAGATTACTTTGACTAAAGGCAACGTCCAGAAGTCTTCCATACAGGGTTCAGTTGCAATATTATGACCGACATCTGTCACATGATTAAGTGTCAGGCACAGTTAGTTTCATTAGAGCACATTTCGACTATGCAAAATGCCCGAAGGCATTCTATGCAGTATTTGGTTCCTATCTTATGACCAATATCTGTTGTGTCAATAAGAACCAGGTGTGCTTTGTTGCATTAGAGGATATTTCGAACACACACATCAGCTGAAAGCCTGCTACTCTGGCCTCAATAGTAGTCTTATGACTGACTTAAATCTGTCAGATCATGAAGTTTCAGGCGTGATTATTAAGTTGAGTGCTATAAAATATGAAGTGTAATTATACTGAAGGTACCAGCATATTCACGATATTGTTAATAAATTTTGTAGTGCAGGTATAGAAACCCAGTGGTTTGTAAACCTGATTAAGAGGGCAGCTGCTGCCTCATTCACCGAAGAGAGGAGGGGGAGCTTAATGTCAACTCCATATATTAACATAATAGGGAGGGGCACACCTGATGTTGATTTCTGGTGCATACCACTGTAGTTACTTTGGGCACTGGAATGTCAATTACTTCTAAAATAGTCTAAACTGTGGTGGGTGAAGCACTATCAATTTTTTAACGTGTTCTCATATCCTCTAAAACATATAAACCCGCTCCAGTTAGAAACGTGCCGTTCTGTGCTGAACTTGGACAGTTCTAAGCCAAAAAGTCAAGCAACGCTGTGCATCGCCCTTGGACGTGTGGGTGCAACGCGGTTGACGTGTGTCAGTGGTTGCGCGCCCTTTTCCTCCACAGGCCCGACTAGACGCTTTTGACGCGTAGGCGCGTGCATACGCGTGCCAGTGGTTGGCACTTTAATGTTTTCGCAGCATGTTAAGCTTTTTTCTGTTCGTTCTTTTTGCGCTCAACTACCAATTTCCTGGCGACTACTACGGCATCCGATAAGTTACGCTTCTCTGTTCTACTGTGCTGCGGTGCAGCAATTTTACTCCCCTTCTCATGGCATATCACAGTAGCGAACATTTTGCTATACATACACTCAAACCTCGATATAACAAAATATTGATTATGACAAAGTAATTGAAAAATATTCTTGCAATAACTATAGTGTTAAAAATAAACCTTTATTGCAAATTTCCGGGTATAAAGAACCTATTTTCGTGTAAGATGCCACTTTGTTATAATGAGGTTTGAGTATACCTCCACTGATACCTCTGCACATGTGCACAAAATGATATGCCTAAGCTGCTGCTTCTCTGCCTATCTGCACTGCTGAACACTAGTCTCGCTCTCCTTCGCCATGTCTATATTTTCTGTACTGTATTATCACCATTCTACTGTATTTACTTGCGTAATGAACACACACCCCCCACCTTGGTGCTTGAAAAAAAAAATGTTTTTATAATGTATTTGTACATTTGTTTCAGTTTGATTGCCAGTGCTGTTGACGATCGAAACGTTAAAACATATCATAAAATATTGATGAAATAAAAGTCAAAACAGTTTATCAACCATGCTAAATAGTTGCGAGCAGCGAGAGTGCAGACGTCGATCGAAATTTAAAAGTCGCGCCTTCTGCAGCAGAACTCCATCTGGCCAATGCAGAAGAAACATTTTGCCTATAGTGCTGCACAAGCACAGCGGCACGAAAGCAAAGCAAAAAAACGAAGCAGCCACCGCACGACGTGTGCCCGTAACATGCGTGCACCCGTAACATGCGTGCACCACCATGTGAGGCTACATTTTTGTTGACAATCGGCCAGTACGCTAGCAACACAGCCGATTTTAAACTTGCAGCTGGTTGAGGATGCGCTGGAGCATGGGAACTGAGCAACTGGATGACCCTTTCTGTGTCAATCAGTGCACGTTGCCCTGCACATGTGCTATCCACACAGCCGTGCTGCACGTGCTGGGACACCTGCGGTTTTTTGTAGCTTGAGGCTACAAAAAAAAGTTCGCCGCGCATATCGCGGGCCAACACAAGGACAGTTTTCCCCCTTGTAGAGAACGAAGTTCACGAATAAAGGATCTTTAGTCCTGCCACTGAATTTAAGGACAGCAGCAGTTGGGCAGAGAGTTTTCTTTTAGTACTCTCATGTGAAATTTTTGCTGTTATAACTCTCTTCACCTTTTTTTTCTTGCGCAATGAACGCCCCTTCCCCCTAATTGACATCAACTTTTCTGAAACAAAGGTGGGTTCATTACGCGAGTAAATACTGCAAGTCTATTTCCAAGGGTAGGGTAAATTGTAGGGTAATAAAAAAAAGCTGTGTAGGGTAAAGTGGGGTAATTCTGACTGTGACATAGGGTATTTTTCGAAAATGAGTTGACAACACTGTCTCTCAATTGTTAAAAACTCCAGGGCAACATCAGATTGAGGTTGGTTGCCTTCTGCCTGGCGAATAATCGGTAGCTTTCTTTGTCATCATCAATGTCTTGTAGTTGCTGCCTTTCTTTGTTAGTACTGTTGGCACACCTGGAGGGTGGGGCATTAGAGCCGTTTAGCAGATTAAGCCTTGCCCATCAAGCTACAAATGAATTCAGACATAAAGCACAAGATACAGATCAGGCCTAGCCACAGAAACAGCTGACTACGCAAGCTCTCAAATGCCGAAAGTGAAAGTTGTCAGGCTAGTTCGTGCTGCAGTTCGTAGAGTAGTCAGTGTAGTAGTGTAGTTTTTCTCTCATACGCAGTCATTTCTCATACGCCAGAACAAGCTGACTCTTTGCATGGTTTGGCTCGTGGTTTTACCTTGGTGGCCATTCAACAGATAATCGACTGTATATATATATAGTCAATACATAATACACAGTCAATAGATAATCGGCCATTATATATAGTCAACAATCATAGCCTTAGAGATCGGCAGTTGTAATTTCTGAAGATTTTTACACTGGCACAACCTCCAGCAATAGTCAGTGCCGGCAACTTAGCAAAAATATTGTAAACATCGCAGACAGCTTGTCATGGCGTTCGACGTCGCACTCGATGCCAGCTGGAGTCCGAAAAATCTAATGGCGTGAGCTTACATTACTTCAATGGGACGTGTGGCAGTGTGCCTGTGAAGGTGTCCGAACAAATGAGCTTGTCAGAATTTTCACTGTTCGAATAAATGGTTGGCCACTGTATATGCTTGCCAAGGCCAGAGAGTACATCCAAACTATCTGATTTCTCTAATTAACGAGGATCAAATTAATGAACTTTGCTTTTGTTCATTTCTTATCACCTGTCACAGTAAAAATCTTGCTCAGGCAATAAATTATACAGCCAACCAAGGGGCTTATTTTCAAAGCTTTCATTTCAATTTTCATATTTATTACTGTTTCATCAGCAGTATTCCTATTCAACTTTGGACATTCCTTTCTTTAAAGTTACCAAGTTACTAAATTCTTACCTTGTTATATCCAAGTCTCACTCAGTGCAAAGATACCTTTGTTCTGTCCATGTTCTTTTATTGAGATCTGACATATGTTAGTGAAGAAAAAGAGCTTTTATACACCAGTATTTAGTTACTTCTAAATTGGCCTTTTTTTTAAATGTGCATTGCTTTTTTTTTTTTACATGTGCAGGCACCTGGCACTGTGACGATGCCTAGGCTCCCAAATACAGCAGCTGTTGGCAGAGTGCTGGTGTCAAACCTGTCGGCATCCACAAATGAGAATTCGCTTCGTCATCTTGGCCGTTCTTGTGGGGTTGTCACTGTGAGTCTGTGTTGTGTGACTGTTTTCTTCTAATAGTGATCTCACTAAAAGCCTAATACTGTGCTCATACTGTGGGGTCTAGAATTGGCGAGCGAGCACCACGCCACGCTCTTGGAGTGAACAGACACAGCAGACACGGTTGGTACAAACCAAACAATACACTTAGATTTATTTAACTACTTTTGAACGACGATATCGTCTACCGAATCGGTACATCAATCGTTATCAACACGCTAAGTCATCATTACACAAAATTACCATACACCCAAACAACATAACACAAGGGCACACAGAATGGTGGCGTCGCAAGCGCTTGACTTACCACGAGAAGCCTCAGCGCGGGGCTTGCGGTGCCACGCGCCGAGGACCCACGCTAGAGACAACCGTTCGCGGCAACCGCCACTCGCAGAAGAGACTCGCTCAACCTTGCCCGCCACCAAGGCCTGCCTTCCGCCAGGGGCCACCGTCAGCGCTACCACTCTACCAACAGTGGTGCTCAACGTGAACACAACGCCATCTATCGTCGGCGGTTGTCACTCCCTAAATATGGCTTCTGTGCAGACACGTGCGCCACGCGGCGCAAAGAACTTTACAGGGCGTGTCAGCACCCCACAATACAAAACATTGTAGTTCCAAGGTGTGGACCACTTACTGTGTCGAGAGAGAGAAAAATGCAATGGACTCAGTTACGAAGCTCTTTCGAATGTATTAATAGGAGAGACTGATAGCTTCCAGTAGAGTATACGATGCGCATGTGCATGGTTTTGAACATTGAGTGAACGGGTTTGTTTTACGGCACCTGGTGAAGTGTCACATTGGTCTCTTTGCTACAGCTCAAGCAGCATACACCATTAGGGCATTCAGCAACACCATAAGCATGTGGCAGTTTGTCAATCTTTCCATCACAGATCCTTTTGTGAGCGTGCAAAGCACAGGTAGCAGTACAAAAGCTATTCATAAGACACGACCACGTGATCGAAGCGCACTTTGGCGGAAATGAAACATCTGAACTATACTCGCGCTATTCACTGTGTTAACGCCAAATGGTTCTTTTTTCCATTAATCAAACAAAAATGGACCAGCAGCGCTTTGTCACGTGTTGCAATGCAAGGAAGGTTTTTTTCTTTATTGCGACTGCTTTGATTACTAGTGATTCCAAAAGGTATCATTCCAAAATGTTCCACTCATGGTGCATGTGGTGTCAAACCTTTACCTTAGTTTCTCAATTAGTAGAGCATTGCTGTTGGTAATGTTGATATTTTAGACATTTTCAGACATTGATCTTTCACTCTGACATAAATTGAGTTTCGTGTTGGGAATGGATTCAAAGTGAATAGAGATTTTGGTTGAATAATTTCGAATCACATTCGAATAGTACGTGTATCACTTATTATATTAAAGAAAAATAGGCATATTTATTATGACCTAGCTAACCTTCACAATATATTTAAGAATTGAAGCAGTGTTTGTGCAAATGTCATTCTTTTTGCTTTTAAGGAAGAAGTGAAAACAGCTTTGAATAGTAGCAGGATTTCACTTTCGGTAGAATGCAAGTGATAACCTGTGAAGTATGTTACATTTTAAAATTTGCTATACCTAGAGTATGTAAGTCAGTACATCAAGCCTATAAACTTGAAAAAAAAAAAATGAATCGATGTGAGGGTAGTATCTTCATTTAACGATGAAGTGGGGCTTCACGCCGATTCAAACTCGCCCTGGATATGTGTTTTCATAGTTTAGCACTACTTCACTGCAGTAAAACCACCTTTACAAGAAGCTACATGCGAACTAATGTATATTTGCTTAAGTGCTTTCACGGTTTAGCACCTTTTCACTGCACTTAAACCACCTTTGCAAGTACAGACGAGCCCGCTTATAACGAACCTGAGCGTGACGCGGCATCCATTCGCTGTATCTCGAAGTTCGTCGTAAATGAAACACAGCTTTTAAAAAAGTTGCGAGTGAAAACGCAAACTTTTTTTGCCCCAAAAAGTCCGTGATGCACGTGTTCCGAAGAGCAGAAGCAATAAGGGCGGTCTCGAGTTCATTTAAAACGGCAGGGTGCTCGTTCGACGAGGCCCGTGGCATAAGCTGCATGTGGCACTGGCTCCCAAGTTTCGTCGTTCTCGCCATCCGATTTCTCCAAATCATTCTCGGCACGTACTTCATTCACAATGCCCCAATCCGTGCACGGTTTCGCAGTGTCAGCCTCATCGTCGGCCGTAATTAAACCACCGCAACAGATGTCCCACCCGCTCTCCCAGGTCTGAGTCGACGACGCGCTGCCACAAATCGCCGCCGCAGTTTGGAAGTTTCAGGCTCGGCATTGGGCTCGACGTCGACGAAGTCGGCCTCGCGAAACGAGTTTCGCGCGCATGTAGCCGTCACTTCCGCCCACGAAACATCACCATCTCCACGCTCAGCTGAATACCGGGACGCCCGAAGCAGCAAGTTGGCTGCCAGGTGGTCGATAGCTATGAGCAAGTGCTCCGCAATGCGGCACCTAACACGCGGATTACGCTCAAGCCAAGCGGTCACACTTTCGACGTTTTGTTGAGCAGCAGGAAAAAGCGTGCTAGTCTTCCTGTCGGCCACCATGACCACACACGCACACCAAGAGCGAGCAAGATGCGCACACGCGACACAAATGCCAGAACGTGTGGAACAGCCCTGGGCCCATTTCCAGTCAGAAAACAAAACTAATTCGAGCCAGCGTGGCGGGCGTCGCGGAGCGGTGGAGACGGGCGAAGGGGTTGTGATCAAGAGAGGAGAGCAGACTTGCGAGAGAAGGGCAAGGAGTTCCGATAAAGAGGGGGAAGGATGCAGCGGGAGGGCGACCTTGAAAACCAAAACACACGGGAAGGAGGCACGTTGGGTAGTTCGCTTGAAAGGTCCGCGAAACTCGCACGCAAAAAAACTTGGAAAGAGTGCCTATGCGGCAGTGTTCGAATAATCGGCGGCCGTGGTGAAAAATCGTTTTGTTGCGCCGGCGGGCTGGCGTGGCCTCACGAACTTCGATATTTCACGATTCGTTCCGCGCAAATTAACAGCCAATTTTGCGCTTCCGCACGCGCGCGGAGGGCAAGCTGAGCTGAAGGCGAAGTGAGCGAGAACAAGTCCTAAGCACAAAACGAATCGCAAATTATCAGAGTTGGTGAGGTAGCGTACGCGCGTGCACCAGACGCCGAATATTGGATACAGTCAGTGGCGAACGATGTTGGTAAATGGTCTGGTTACTCCAGGCCAGCGATGCCAACGACAGTGCCAGCGATCAAAACAGGGTAGATGGCCGACCGGTCTTCGAAAGATCGGTGGCAATGTGAAAACACGGGCCTCATTGTGCCCTCGCGATCTCCGATGTCAGCGCAGCTCTGGCCGACTGGACTGGCCCTACGTCATCTCCTGACGCCGATCTCCGACGACAGCGTAGCTCTGACCCACTGGACTTGCCCTACGCCACCTCCTGACGCTGACAAGAGCTCTCGCAAGTGGTGCCCTGTCCTCGAACTCCTGTGACCGTGTTTTCCATTTTTCCTATCTCTCCTATCTCCTCGATATGTCCTCGCTTGCTGGCCTAACGCATCTCTCTTTCTCTATACTTTTACTTCTATCCTTTTTTATCCATCCTCACCCCCATCCCCTGTGAGCTACTGTGGAGGTGCCGCACCTTGATGCAGACAGTTACGGGGCTCACTTCTCTCTTCTTTTCCCTCTCTTAGAATCACTTAGTCGTCTGGCGATGCGGGGTGCTCAGAATAGCGGGGGGACAAAGGACGGAGGGGTGCCTAAAAAAAAGCAGTCGGGGCATGGAGGAAGGAAACAGCTTTCCTTCCTCCATGGGTTGGGGAGAGCGGCAACTAGAGGGTCGTGGAGGCAGGGTCGGCGTGTAACAATAATAATGTATGGGCACCTCGCTGATGCCTGATCGGTGGTCGAAATTGGTTTCCCGGAAAGTAGGCAGACCGCTGACTCCGTTCGCTGTAACCGATCAGCGGCGCTCGGAGACGTTCTTTGTAAGTGCGATTTTGTGTCATTGAACCAATGTATATTTTGACGGTCACGCGGATATTGTTCGTTTTAAGCGAAAGTTCGTTTTAAGTGGGGCCGTTATATGTGGGCTCGACTGTACTACGTGCAATTAATGAACATGTTTGTTCTGAATACTTCGAAATTTTCAATAATTTAAATTTGATTTGAAGTGAATTCAAATTCTGTATTATTTGTTGGAACATTCGACGCATTCAAATATTCGCACAAGCTATATAGTTCCATACAATAATACCTAGGGGGGATCTGGCGCTAGTGTCCATGCGGGCTCATTCAGTGGCGCTTGTACCCTCATAGAAATTATGGGAAGTACAGGCTTCAGATCTGCGTTGGATGAATCAAGTTCTTAAGGTTCACAACGCTTGTTTGCCGAGTGTAAAGCAAAGCGATATAAAGTTGTATTCAATTGAAACTTGCTTCATTATTTTGTATGCAAGCTTTATTGCAAAACGTTTATGTGAAACCTAGGACAAATTGAACCACCAGGGTATCCATTACTCTGCCATTGCGTTCCAAATTTGGCACCAAGATATAATGAATGATTTCTCACAACACATGAAAACAAACATTCTTGTTTTTTTTCTCGAAAGTACACATTATCAATTTATGGAAATAGCAGTACATTAATAAGTGAGAAACACTTAGCGTTTTGCTCTGCTGCGATGCCTGGTGGTTCGGCCCCACGCACCCTCCGCTTTGTTGTGAAGTTCAGTCAGAGGAGCGTGACGGTGCGTCTTCTTCACTTCGCCGTTTTGCAGTCGAATTAAACGAGTTTTGGCAAGACGTGCTCACGAAAAAACGTGAATCAATGTAATATTCTGAACTGGAATGGGACGCTACATCTGTGCACAGTGGTGAGTGACGGCGTTTTGCTTAGACTGTGAAATACAACTTGTACAGCTCTAATGTCGCAGTAAATCAAGAGACCTAGTGGTTTTCAGCCTCTTAATAACAAACACACTGCTTCAGTGCTTTACATCGCACCCCACTACCCGCGGTGCGTGAAGAACAAAACTGAATGCTAGAGAAAGATCCGTAGACAGTTACGCTAGCTAACGCGATCCAATCCGAAGCCTGTACTTCCCATGATTCCCATGGGGGTACACGATTGCAGTGCCAGACTCCTTTCTAGGTATTATTGTATGAAGCTCTATGACACAAGCCCAGTAAATTGTTATTTGTCTTTAGTGTTTCTTTAACAACACTTCTCCAGTGCTTCTGTTACAAACTCTGTTCTTCATTTGTAAATCTTTTTACCCTTTGTCATTGATTCAGATATCTCAGACAACACTTCGCCATAGTTTTCCAAAACAAGTATTTTCGCTTTTCATGTAATGTTCCCTACTCCTATTACCCTGTGTATGAACAGTCTAGCTAAGCTTAGTGGCTAGGTATCCTCTTAATTGCCAGGTTCCAGCAGATCTACATGAAACCTCTTTTTACAGGAAATCATTCTTGACAAGAACCAGCGTCAAGCAGTCGTCAAGTTCAGAGAACATCAACAAGCCATGCAATTTCAGAAGAAATATCAAAGGTGAAGCTGCTTTGGTCAAGTGCTACATTCGTGTGTTCATGTTGCGATATCAGCTGCAGGAAAACTCCAATGAAAAAATTGTGGTGTTGCCACGGTGATCAGTACAAGGTTCATCTGTGATAAGATCCTATCAAGTGCTGTAGGTGATACGCTTTGGAATTGTAAGAAAGCATGTCTCTATGCGTGCAAAAGGTGCTCGGATACGGTTGTTACACCCACACTGAGAGGAGGACAGAAAGCGATAAATGGGGGCAGGAATAGGGGAGATGGTTGCAGGGAAAGCACGCATTTACTCTGGTTAGTCTGGCAGTGGGGAAATTAGTGGAAACTGGTCCAGACACCTTGTCATGCTAGTAATGTGCAGTGATTTCAAAAGCTTAGCAAGCCGGTCTCCTCATGTGACTCTCCACTAGCTTCCTCAGATCTCTGCACACTTAATGCTGCAGCTCGCATTATTTTGAAAAAGCTAGGAGCTACTGAACACACCGTCATCGGTTCACCCTGGGAGCGGGTGCTACGTACAAGTAGACCATACGAAAATGAGACTTTATGCAACAAACTAAATTTAAATGTATTTATTTATGCTTTTACAGAGGTGCAACAGCTGTGCCAATCGTGCCAATTTGATACAGTATTTTATTTTTATGCGGTTCTCAGCCAAAACTGTGAAACTTGGTGAAATTGCACTACACTGCGCTAAAATGCCAGACAAGCCTCAAAATCTTTTCAGTTGCGCTAACTGTTGCCAGAAATCGAGGACACCTTGGCAACCTGCTGTTGGGGATCATCATCCAGTCCAGAAGGGCAAACTCTCACCCTAATCAGATAACAAAAAAAAAAAAATTAAGAAGGAACGCCATTCTAAAATTTTTTGGCCTTGTTATATTTCGTACAGAAGGCTTTTTAAACTACTTCTGTTTCTGTACTCTGAAGCCTTGCGCAAATATTTACTAAAATTTAGAAGGGGCGATTACTAGCTGTCACTAGACACAGCACATTTTGTTCCTCAGTCACTCATGTGCTTGATCCATGTAATTACAAATGCAAGTATGATCGGTGTTATATGAAAAACTTCTGGCAGTCATTCAGAGCTGTGTATGATGTTTCTGTGGCCCTGAGAAGGAAACAAAATTGTAAGCCTGTGTTCGTTTTTGCCACCCCCCCTTGCTGCTGCTGCTTTACTGGTTCCTGGAATTTCGGGGTCGACAGACTGGCCGATGCACATTACCATTTGCAACGCCTGTCAAATGTGATATGCTAATGTGGACTTCTTTATTGTTTACACTGTGGGGCGGTTCGACAGGCTGCTTTTATTGCTATAGCAATGCTCACGTGCACTGGGCAAGAGTTGGCTGATGTAAAAGGTTTGTACACAATTTAAGATTTCCTACTAGTAATGGAGTCTCTCCCCCCCCCCCCTCCACACACACACACTTTGTTGTAACCTGCTCCAAATTTGGATTTTTGCGTGCCGAAAGAAACATTTCACTGCTGCAGTAATTTGTCCAAATCCTATTTCAGCCATTGCATTATTGATGTTATATTCTTTTTGTACCTTTTTTGTGTGGGTAGAGTTCAGGGAATTTCGCTCTGTTGACAATAGCTCATACTGTACATGCAGGCACATGTTAGACTTGTCCATGATTCAAGTCAGCCTGCTTCCACCGTGAAGGTGGGAACAGCACTAGCTGCGCTCGGGACAGAGCCATGGCGGCAAGAAGTCATGTGGGATCCAGAGTACCGGACCACGTCCTGAGGATGCTACTGCTCCAGCCTACCAGCGCGAGGGTAGGCTGGATTGGTTATCATCTGCATTGGTCATCATACCTCCAGGGAAGTGCTCACCTTCCTCCACATAGGTTCTTTGCAGCTTGCGAACTGCTTGCTAGAAGAGCCTCTTGACCTTCGTTTGGCCCTGCGACACACACCTCAACTCGTTTTACTCTCACTGTAACTGTTTCACTTAGCTAGCAAGGTGCATATCGATTGTTCGAGTTTTTCTTGGTGTGGGGACTGCTTGACACTGTTTGTACCTTGATGCCTGGATTCGTACAACGGTGTTGAAGAATGAACGTGCTGTCAGGAACAGTTCGACATCGGGACAGATGTGTGTGTGCACGTGCGCGTGTGAACTGCCCTTGTCCTTATTATTATTTTTCTTTATGTGGAATTTGCCTGTGGGCCATCAGTTCTCATATGGACGGGCACTTTCCAATGACACTGTCAAGTTTGTGCGACTGAACTTCAAGTGTGCTTCTTGCATTAGGCACCAGATTGCTAGGTGCTGATAGGTCTTCAGAGAAAGGTCACTTTCAATCTTGTTGTATGCTTTTACAGCAAAGCTTCAAGTTTCCTAGAAACTTGGTCGTTCTTGTGCTGTATGGGATACATTCGGTGATGAGGATCGTGTCGAGACTGGCGAACTTCGAAGAAGCATTCATTGAAGATTCGGCTTCGGCTTTCTCGTTTGGCAACATTCAGGAAACATTGCCCTTTGGTCTTTTAAAGCTTGGCTTTCTTCAGAATGCACCTACTTCACCAAAACGAGAGAATAAAGAAAGCTAAAAAAAGCTCCAACAAAGGAATATCTCTTCTTTTAATAAGCTGCAGGCCAGGTTTTTCTGCAATATAGGGTGGTGCTCATGAGAAGCGTTTCTTCTGGTAATCATAGCTGTCGGAAATTGGTTGTTGAAGGATAACTTCACATCTGTCCTCACCTAGACTCTTAGGTGTACGTATGTGCTTTTGTGCAGTACTCTTGAGCGAATGTTTAATCTAATGAAGGACCTTGGAAATTCATTCTTCACACAAACCCTGTAGCCATTTCTATCAGTCAACAGGTTCCAAGTTATAGTTTTAGAAGCATCTGTCCTTCTGATCTCTTCCTTTTCATGCTCATTACAATAACTCGTACTCTGCAACCGAGTATTATTTATTCATACGACATTCCGTCCAAGTTCTTTATCTTTCTGTGATGCTGTTTGTGGGTTTCACAGGACTTGCATGTTCCACAAAGTCATTTTCTTGAAACTGCTCTTCATTTCAAGAATTTTAAAAATTCATTTTTTATGATTTAAAAAGAATTGAATTTGTTATCAGGTTGGCAGGGAGCATTTTTTTCATTGCAACTGCAGCCTCATTTTCAGTTCTTATTTTATCTTGCTACCTGTGAATTGTGGTGTAGAGTTCCTATTTTCAAGTATTGTGTCATCTTTCCATTTGTGTACAAGTTCCCAAGAAAGGAGCAAAAATTTTTAATTCAGGGAATTCCATATAGAAGCGGGAGAGCGAGAAACTTTTTTCTTCATTTACCACATGATGGTTCTTGACATGATATTCATAACTAGTAAAATTTTGCAACCAGTGGGTGAAGATCCGAAGCTTTAGTAGTTGTTTATTGTCCGAAGATTTGCTTATCACATAAAAAATTTCAGCTACAGTGGAACCTTGTTAAACCTTGCCTACTTCAGCCATGCCCCGCCGCGGTGGTCTAGTGGCTAAAGCACTCGGCTGCTGACCCGCAGGTCACGGGATCGAATCCCTGCTGCAGCGGCTGCATTTTAGATGGAGGCGAAAATGCTGTAGGCCCTTGTGCTCAGATTTGGGTGCACGTTAAGGAACCCCATGTGGTCGAAATTTCGGAAGCCCTCCACTACGGCGTCTCTCATAATCATATGGTGGTTTTGGTACGTCGAACCCCACATATCAATCAATCAATCAATTTCAGCCATAGTTTTGTAATGAAAGTTTGAAATTCTCAGTTTGGCTGTCATTAACTCCTTGCAGTCTTGTGGTAAGCCTCACCTAATGCAAAAATGTAAATCTCAGTGAGATATGGAAATCTCTTGACAGAGATGTGGCCTCGTGTATGCCAGTTTTGTTGCAGCCCCTGTTTTATGAAGCTTCTTTATTTGTAAACTGTTAATGCACTTTATGAAGCTTTGAGAGGGTGGCTGTACCTTTTTTTTTTTTTTATCATATGAATGGATGAATCTGAAAGTGGGTTCTGTGCTGACAAGCAATACATCGTTATACTGTGGGTTTTCATGTGCCAAGGATAGGATTATGCCGTAGCGGAAGGCTCCGGATTACTTTACCATATGAGGTTTTTTGGTGTACGCCTAAATCTTAGTCTATGAGCATTGTTACTTTCTTACCTTCACCAACACAGTGGAACCCCGCTGCTACGTTCCCCACTGCTGTGTTTTCTCAGCTGTTACGTTGTCTTGCATCGGTCCAGGCATAGCTCTCATAGAATCTCATGTATTGCGAACCCCGCTGTTACGGCGCAACTGTGAGAACGTTCCTGCTTGATGCGTTGCAACCTAGTCCTCTAGTGTCTAGAATATACTTCTAGGCACTATACTAGTCCGCCGAACCCGCCCAGAAATTGCCATTTTGATCTGACGTTTGACAGTCTTCGCCTGGCTTGGCTACGGAACAGGCTGCGAGAAGCCGCAGGCGATTTGGAGAGGCTGCTCCTAGATGACCATTTGTGAAAAGTGCTATCACCATCATCACTGTGCTTACAATGGAATTTTCATGACGAAATGCCGGAAGTGCGCTAACAGTCCCACGGTCACATATGTTGACTGGTCTTCAGTCGCTGTTGTGTTCGCTGAGCCTGTTACCATTATACCGGCCAACTCTTCCGATTTCCCCGTAAAATGTACAAATTTTGATCGTGCTTATAATTTTACGAGTCTTGCCTGAAATTTTCCGAAAAATATATGTATTTTCTATAGAAAAAATAAAATAACTAAAGTAGCGTGGCCTCAAAAACGGCATTGTGCTATATTCCTCTACTATGAGAGAACAAAAATAATGTATTGGTGTTATTATCATCATACCTGCCAAGACTCCCGGATTTCGACCATTTCTTTCGTTTTACATTTGCCATGGAAATCTCCCGGAAATTGAAATTTGTGTGCGAGATCTGGCCGCATTGACGAAAATGCAGGTCAGTTTGTTCCAGACTTTTTGCGAGCCCCCCACATTTTATTAGAAAAGAATTTAAGAGACGTTCATCTAAACATACAGTGGAGTCTCAGTGATGCAAAACCGCGGCAGATACGAATTCGTGAAGTTCCCCAACCAAATTCATGTGTCTGTTGGGCCAAAATTCGAATGTTCCGAACACTTCTCTCAATCACGGCGTGTGTTATGAACTTTAGTACTGAAACCGTCGAACGAAAGTAGATCGAGAGCGGCGTACTCGAAGCTTCGGAAGTAAGCACGTGACCAGGGCACGCCCTGTCTTCTTCAGTGCGTGTGGTTGTCATTGCAACAACCGCTGTGAATGAAACGGAGTTCGTTCGACACGATCATGTATAGCGACAACGTTACTGACAGAACTGCGAAAGTGTGCGCACAGGGAACGCTAGAGCAGTATAAGCAATGCTGCTTTCCTCAAACTTCGTGCACAAAACTGTGACAGTTGCAATCATAGATAGCATAAAATGACTTAGTTTTGAAGGCATGCGGGTTGAAAACAAAACTACCGTTTGCCGCAACCGCCGCGCACAAAACTGCGGTCGCGGCAATGGGATAGTGATCTACGAGCTCCGAGGGCACGTTGGCTGACGCAGCGGTAAATTAAAAGGGCGTAAAGACTTTAAAAAAATAGTAAAAGGCTAGAAGCGTTTCAGCGTTTCTGTTCAAAGAATCTAGTAGCGAGCAAACACAAAGCTTTGACCTGCACTTTCGCAACAGCCAGGTGCGCCGTCCCGTTCGTTCACTTGTAAAGACGTACGCTAGTTGCTTTGACGGAAATAGATTTTTTTGCTAGTTGTTTTGATGACGCGAAATTTCGGGAGCATTTGCGCTCCCCATTTGAGACTCTCACCTTAGTGGGAAACCCTATGCCTCTTGTGTTCAGCCACTTCAAGCCATTATGAGACCGCAACGTTGATGTTTGTGTTAGCCCCCCCCCCCCCTCCTCGCCGTTTTTGTTTTTAGAAATTTTTTATGGCAGGAAAACGTGAATACACTTGTCGCTAAAGGCAAATTCATTATAGCTACAAACAAAAAAGGCGGCAACACCCCCCTCCTCCTCGCCGCTCTAGGGTTTTACGAATTTCTTCATTGCCAGGTTGGCTGGTATGCCGTTTAACTTGTCAATGCAATCTTTATCAAGCCTTAATGGCGTCGTGTAAGCGAAAAGCGCTTTCTTTTGAGGCTGGACGTACTTAAAGCAATCGACAAGCAGCCAGCGCGAAAAAGGGTGGACATTGCCAAAGGCCTTAGAGCAGCGCAAACAACTTTACAGGATGTGTCAGCACCCCCACAACTGCTATCATCAACACTCAACAGCATCACCTCAAAGCAACAAGTTCGGTACTCGGTGCCATGCATTAATTACGTCGCATCAGTGTGGAGTGCAGTGAGCTCAACTGTAGGTCACTGCTTTGCGAGGTGTGGGTTCCGTATGGACATCAAAGAGAAGCCTACCATCGAAGCTCATCAGTCGAAAGCAGCCTCCTGTGAGCAAAAGCTCAATGAGGCAATGAATGCGCTGGGTGCCACGGGTACGACGTACGATGACTACGTCGCTGTAGATGTTGCCGTTGGGACGTCGGAGTGCCACACAATCGCGGATATTGTTGTAAACTCTATTGCAACTGAAGATGGGGACATTGACGACGACGACGAGCACAAGCCACATGATTCTGAAGAGTTGGCCTTGGAGTCGGCCGATCTTAACTTTGGAGAAGCCGCGGTGGCCCTAGACTACTTCCGCAGGTACGTCGCACACCAAAGCGACACTGAAAGCAATGCGGCCTTCCAGATTATTGAGAAACGCATGGTGCCTTCCAGCGAGCGAAAAAAGGCGGTCGCCTTCTTCAAATGATTAAGTCATAGGCTCACCTTGCCAAAATAAATTGTTAGTAGTCAAGGCGCTTGTGCTCTCATTCATTTTCAGAGCTGTGGCGACTCCATTTCCAATGGAGGCGGAAATGTTGTAGGCCCGTGTGCTCAGATTTGGGGACACGTTAAAGAACCCCAGGTGGTCGAAATTTCTGGAGCCCTCCACTACGGCGTCTCTCATAATCATATGCTGGTTTTGGGACATTAAACACCACATATTAATCAATCAATCATTTTCAGAGCTTTCCTCATTTTTGCATTTTATCGGCTTTTACGTTTTTTTACCCGGTCCGCTAAAAAACGTATTAACGGGGTTCCACTGTAAACGGTTGCCTTGACCAGCATTAAACTTGCCTTGACCAGCATTGTATCTACCCTGAGTGACGCAACTTCGTAGAAGCTAAGCTCTTACACATGCAACATACGCCTACTATGTGCAAAATGATTTTTTACTGAGCAACCAAAAGTTGCTAAATGCTCATGACTGCAAAGGGTTAGAACCTAGGCATTCAGTTCTTGCCCATTTACTTATATTAAATTTTATCAGTGTTCTTCATTTTGCCTCAGAGGCAGTACATTACTTCCAGGTTTAAAGTTAGGAGACGACAAAAAGGGGGAGAACAAACAAATGGGTAGGTATGCTTACTGCACATATTTCGATTGTGGCTTACTGCCCAAATTCAAATTCTGCATTTTTATGAAGTGTCTGTAATTTTAGAGCTGCCTTGGTTTTGGCACAAATTTAATGTAACTTTTAGGTGTGAAACAACTCTTTACTAGCCTGTGTAATGCTGTTCCTCCGTATGTATGCGCCGCGAGCCGCAGGCGTTGGCACCGGGCCAAGTAGGTCACACCGCTGCTGTGCGCTGACGTCACTCTCTACCTCGCGTGCTTGCCGCGGCATCTGCAGCTGCTGCCTCGTCCGTTCACCCACAACACCAGCCGCGCGCTACACCTCGAACTCGTCAGTTCATGCGCAATAAAGCTGATGCGCGCCTAACGTACGCATTGAAACGTGTGTATGTGTCACCTACAAGACCTACACCTGACTGTCACTTTAAAGAAATCTTCCAGCACTCACCGCAGCAGCCGCGTTAGCGCCGTTCAACCCATGATGCCACCCGTGCGCAATCTCCCCAAATGGAACCACCATGGTTCCATTTGGGGAGATGGTCCAAGTTATTTTAGAACATTCATGTTCACTGCATCTCAAATTTTTACATCATATATTTATAAAACTGGCCTTTGCACCACACAGTGCAAATGAGAAGTGAATTATTTTAAATGCACCTGGATGCATAGTTCAATAAAATACTTTTCAATTGGAGAGCACAGAAAAAAGTGGGTCTTCTTTGCTTTTCTAGATAATGTGCCAGTTTTGTTTTATGCATATTTTCCCGAGTTCATAGCTTAACAAGGTTCTGCTGTACTGTTTCTTCTTCGGGTGATAACACTGTCATAGCTTAACAAGGTTCTGCTGTACTGTTTCTTCTTCGGGTGATAACACTGCCACTTTGATAATTTAATTACACGTTGCCCTCATACCGTTCACTGCAACCTCATTATGGCTAAGGTCCA